TGAAGTAGTTACTTTTAATCACCTAAAAACTTCAATACACAATGTGAAAATATGTTACATGCGCACAAGCTCCAAAACTTGTGTTTAAGTGTTTAAGCTGGAGCTGTAAAATTCTAAACTCAACACAAATTTACTCGATCAGGCAAGACATGTTTGATGTCTAAAGTTTGTTTCTTTAGTTCTGTAGAAGAGCTGTGAAGCTAATGTAGCTAACAAGCAGTGGAAGCAATAACCACCACTTAGCATTATGAAGACTCATCTTGAATCCTCATGCACTTTCCTCAAAGTCATTTTATGTCACTGTATGACACACTGTTACCCAAACAATGGACAGAAGTATGTTAAATAGGTAGAAATAGCAGTTGCAGCCATTGTCCACACTCACACCTGAATTTTGTCCAGTTGTCCAAACATCTTGGCTGATCAACTAGATTTGTAAAAGTTGGGTAAAGGGAAAAAAAATAGTATGATTAAACAGTAAAATGCTTCACATAAGCTGATTTACATAATGACAAAAATAGCACCCCACCAAAGCAAGCCAAGACAGACAGATACGTATCTTTATGCTTGACAAAAACCTTGATATTTTAGGACAAATTTATTGCCATGACTTGTCCACGCACACCCACCCCCCCCCCAACCCCCCCACACACACACACACCAAAGTCATGTAGAAAAATACCTCAGCCATGAGCTAATAGAGCACAGAGTCATGATAAATTCCTGATTTTATGAACAGCCCTGTAGTGTTTCCATGCGCATGAACAGGGTCATAAAACATGTTTGAATCTGTGAAAATGAGTGAGGTATTTAAAGCTGTTTGCTTCCTCAAAGTATCACACAGATGTCAGGGCTGTTTTTCATTTTAAGTAGCTTTATTCAGACTCTAATAGTCAGAGCAAATATATATGAACAGCACTGCGCTGAAGTCAGAGAACACCTTTCGTTTATTTTATTTGCAGTCAGAACGGTAATTAAGTACAAGTTATTTATTTTTCAGTGTCAGATTTGAAATTTTCAGTATTTAACGTGTCCACACTTTGCCTTTATCCCAGCTCCTATTTTTCAAGAGATTTGTTTTCAGTTTTTCAAAGAAATCTTCAGGGATATTGTTCCACACCTCCAAAGTTCAGTCTTAGAAGTTGGTCGGCTTTCTTTCTGCTTCTCATCATCCAAATAACACCAATTACAAATTAAACAATAAAACTTTACATCCACATCAGACATCCAGTTTTGATGTTCTAGTGTAAAATTTCTTCTTGACAGCTACACATCCCTTGAGACTCATAGTGCTGAGTCTGAGGATGGACAGAAACACCTGTGGATTTTTTCAGATCTGAATCAAGGGTGGAGATTGATTTTCTCCTCTCTCTCAAAGATGAAAGATTTATGTTCTGTTTATCTGATGGTAACAGTTTTGGTGGTCCACCAGGTCTTGCATGGTTGTTTGGAGCACCATTTTCTATGTGTCTTTTAATGATTTCTTGAACTCCAGTTTTCCCCCTTCCTTATGCAACAGGATTGTCTTATATCTAATCTTCTGAAAAATATCTCCTTTAGTCATTTGAGATGAACATGAGAAAGAAATTTTAAGGTGGCTGAAGTGAGTCTGGGTAACTGTGTGTGTGAATGTTAGTGTCTCTTTCAAGGGGAACATAAAGCCAGTGACTTTTGGGAGCAGCTTTGGTTGGGAGGCCATTGCTGTACCTTGTTGGTTTTAAGATTGGAAAGATGGAAAATTAAAATGGCATAAACATAAAGAGCCTACAAATTAAACACTGATAGATTACTGTAATTGCCAATCTGTCACCAGCTTATCCTTGATGCTGAAGTTATGGCACATTTTATATGTTATACGTTTATTTTGTCCAATATCTTAAACTCAGTAAATAAACAGAAATTGTGCGCTAAAATTTGCAGAACGGTATATTTAAGTTTCTTCCTGTAAAGAATGTCTTTAACTTATTTCCATTTAAAAAATCAACAAAATGTATTTTGACCAAGAGTGCTCATACTTTTGCATATGACTATATTTAGTGGTGCTATGGGAACATAACTGTACAATTTTGTCTTTTTTTGTCATTTTACCTCATTGGAAAATGCCATCTGTCCTTTACATTGTGCTAAAATTTCATGATTAATGGACCAAGAGAAATGGTTTTAAATGACTTGAACCTGATTACAATAACATACATTAAAGTGTGTGGCATTTGTGTGGGTTTACATACTAAGAACAGTCATTATTTATTTTTACATGACCAACTTTCTAATCTCTCTTTATCCTTTAGACTTAAACAGGTTTAGTTACTGTGCATGACCTCTGTTCTGTTTTGCTACCCCTGTTTTGTGCCTCAATCAAGCAGTCCAGGCTGAAACACTCTTTATAACGTCAACGTGAAGGGGCGGAGCTAAACTGCTGTAGGAAAACAATGACAAAAACAATGAATTCGAAGCAGGCTGATTTTGCAGCTCAGTTTACATATATGGACTGCATTATTGCTTTGATTGTACAGAGAGAATGGTATGTTTTAAAACCTGTTTACATTCGACAATAAATTCTTGAATTCGAGGAAATTCAGATCATAATTTAGTCACTTTAACCTCATAAATATATTTACCCCTGACTTCAACTAAAACTGCATAAAGAAAAACCATTGCTGCAGTTTGTGTGGGTAAAATGTAAAAACAACTCTGGTTCCTCAGCTAATCATTGAAGGTCTGTTTATATGGTGTAGTCTAACATGTATGCACTCTGGATAAACACAATGTACCTGGATGTGCATCACCAGCGGAGAGAGAAGGGACTCAAAAACAAGAACTTCATGACCCAGTTCATGTTTTTTCCTACCACGTTCTGCTGACAGACATTTCTTTCTTTTTTTTCTTCCTGTGTCTGTGTGTGGTGTGTACTCTTTTATGTTTTACTCTCTTTGTAAGAACCAGTTTGTTGGTCACGATTTTCCACACAATCTGCAGCTTTCAAGTGGAAAAAATGTAACGCTGTAAACTTTGACATTGTTTGTGCTTAAATAATCACTATAATTTCTTTTATCACACTTTCCCTTATTAGTTGTTACCATTTTATCTAGGCAAAAAATTCAAGTGTACTTACAACAAACTCAACAAAATAAACCATAGCAGCAGGTAAAACGTTGTAAAACACATACAACATTTTAATTGCTCAAAAAACATAACCAGTGTATAAACTTAAACATATATGACTGAATAAACTTGTTTTATTTCGAAAAGTGGAACATGTAACACATCTTTTGAGCCAAAATCACAGAGTTGAGAGGGCACATACCTTCTCTCACAACTGCTTTTTTCAAGGAGGACGAGAGGCGGGCTGCACTTTTCTCTTTACTCTGTTGGCCAAAACAAGCGCAGTGCCAGACGTCAGCCCATCTGCTCTGCTGCAGGTCTTTCTTAGGACTTTCCAGTATGTTTTTAATTTACAGTTAAAACTGGGACATTTCCAGGGACATTAGCACAGACAATAATGTCAACCCGTTTCCTTGAACTTGCTTAAATAGAGGATCTGTTAACTTTGAACTCACTTATAACAAAAGCCGTTGAGCTTCTTCTGAATGGTGTGAATAATCATTTGAAATATTCCACTATATCATGGAAATTTTAATTACTAATAACTGAATAATAGGCCTGCAGTTAGAAAGGTTAATAGCAACATATACACGGAAAAGCAGCGTCTGACAACTGCTTTGGGGACAGCGGCAGCACAGTTTGTAGAAAACTGATGGTAATCAGTCTAACCTGACTTTTGAGTAGCCTTTTACTGATCAGTCTATTTACGTCCATATATTTAAACATGTAATAATCAAATACACTTCTGATTTCTACAGAATCTGTGCAGTCACTGAACAGAGACACAGACAAACCATCCAAAGCGTTTGTGCTTCAAAGCTGAAAAAAGTCTAAAGGCGCCACCTTCTGGACTTCTTAGCACAGTGATCTCACGGGAAAACCAAATCCAGTCACCCACAGCATTCATCCGGCTGCCCTCCAATACGAGTATCTGAGCACTAAATGGTGACCACAGGACCTCCAGCGTAAAGCAAAAGAGTCACATCACTCCTAACATAGTTCATCTTCATCGGAACAGTCTTCCTCCGCTTTGCCCGCTCGGCACGTTTGTCGTTTGATTAATTTTGCCAAATGTTGCCTACACTATAAAAATGTCACCCAAGTTGACATAAAAAATATTTCATGTGATAACAAGCGGTCGAAGTAGTATTATTTCATTTAAAATGCTTTGATTGAAAGAATGGAGCATTTAAAGTATTTATTGTAGTTGAATCAAATTAGTTCACTTGCTTTTTACCACATTAAATATTTTTTGTTAAAGGTTGTCCTTCCATGGTTGGTGACTCATAGCCTCTAAAATTAATGGAGGCACATTTGTTAGACTTTTCAAATAAATAAAAATACAAAAGACGCCGTTAATATAATGAACTTATTACTTATTAATTTATTTATTTTATTATGACGAATTCTGCCCAAACCATGAAATTCACATAAAAAGCATCCTGCGACTTGTAAACGTGTGAAAGCTGCGACGCTTTAACGCGCTCACAAAAACTCTACTCTGTTGTTGTTTTCTTGGTGTGTCTGAATCGTTTACTGAAGCTCCCTTTCCTCCCTGCGGCCCTTGATTTGCCTGATCTGTAGATCATCGCCTTACCGAGCTGTACTGACGGAGCTGACATGCAGGCGCCTCCGCATGGCTGACAGATCAGGCAGAATCAGGGTCGTGAGGGATTCCGACTCAGCCCTTCTGTCGAACAGTGAAACGATATTAAAAACGACTCTATATGTTACGTTTTTTAGTTTTTAAATTATAAAGTAACCAGTTTTTTAGGAGATACTATCCGTACAATCCCTACATCAGAGGTTATATTATGAAATCAGATCCGTTTCCGTCACAACGCGGAAGAGGAAGAGGTTTAGAAAACAACGGCAGAAGTTTGTAGTGACACCGACTCTCCGTCCCTGTAACCGCAGGTCAGCCGCGCTGCGGCTTTCTTTCTTCAGGTTTGCAGCTTATTAAGATATCGAGCAGAAATGATATATGTCGTGTCAGAAATATCGTATTTATGTACACATAAATTGTATGTAGCGCACATTAACTCCGCCACAATTTCTTGTTTACTAACGTTGGTGGGAAACTGAGTTTTAGAGTTGGGGGCGTGTCAGCAAAAACAATGTTACTGTAAACGGGTTGTATTTCAGTTAACTAGCAGCCACACATGAACAGGATGTGATCATGATCACAAGAAAATACAGATTCAAACCGATTTTATGTACGAGGTTGTAGTCGGCTTCTTATTTGCCAGCGTCTTTTGTGAAGTTTCCCGTTCCACCTTAAATGGTGCAGCAGTTAAAGTACATTCTGGCGCCTGCCGCACCTTTTAAGGTGGAACGGGAAAATTCGAACAAGAATCTGGCGAATAAGAAGCCAGCTTCAGCTTCCTCTGTAATGTGATGCTTCTGAGTGAATAAAAACATTAGTCATCTCTTAAACATCCACTGCTTCACTTTGTCGCAGTAACTCAAAATAAACAGACTCTCTAAGGACAGAAAAACAATCTTAGCTAAGTTGTTTTTGACCAATATCACTTGAACACAAATCGAGTCGTACCTTCCACCTTCGAAGTCCTTAGTAGGAACTTCCGAGGAGGACTTGAAGGCAGCAATAGTTAGCTAATTTAGCTAAATCATTGTAGTGAACTGCAGGCTTCATGAACTTGAACCAGAAGACCTTCATCCAGAGCCTCTTGCAGCGATAGCAAAATGCTGAGTACACCTCCTTCTTCCTCTTGTTCTTCTTCTCTGACCTTCTGTTTTGTGTCGTTCTGTAATGGAAATAATGACTATATTAGCACCATAAAAACCATTTGACTAAGTATTATCACACTACCCCTATTCATTGTTAATTAGAATATTGGTTAGATGGATATTACACACATGTAATCTTCAGCTAAGGGTTGCACAGTGACATTGCAATCATGTCTTACAGGTAGTTAATTGCTTAAAAGTAATTAACATTATTTGCATTGGACAGATGTTTAAATATTTCAGACTGACATTCGATGAGGTGTTTATTGTATTCCAGAAGAGCAGAGTGATGCTGGTGATGCTGGGCTACTGTGCTAAATGGCTGAACGATTTGGGGAACATATCTAGTTGCAATTTTTTTTTTAACAATTTTGTGATTGTTATTTTAATTTCTATTATCTTCTGTAAATTGAGGTTCATACCTTTTTTGCCAAGATTACCAGCATTTCCACCTTTTCTGGCTTGTTGTGGTTATGATGTCACAGCACGAAAGTGTTTGGTCTTGATTGGTTTTAATTTCAGTATAAAAAAAATCGATTAATGATACATTATATAATTTAGAGTACAACCTTTGTCTAGTGTCCTAAATGTGTTTTAAGTATTCAATAGGTCATCATGCACCAGCAAGGAGGGAAAAAAAAACTGTTATGTTCCTTCTACACAAACCTATCACCAAGCAAAAATGTCTCAGATACGACTTTTGATCCCTGATACCGTGTTTCACTTGAAAATTCATCACGATTTGGAAAGAAAATAATTTAGGATTCACATTGACTTTGTAATTCTGTAGATAGTTTCAAAGATGACACTATACATTTTCATTGAATGCATGTGCCAAATTCAGCACACCAGTCTCTACAAGGTAATAATTAGTTATATAACTAACTAGTATCCCTCTTTTCTCACGTGTGCACCCACAATACATTCAGCATGTTGTTAACTTGCATTACAATACCTTATTGGATATGAAAAGATATTTAAGTATTGAAAAAATAAATGGCTAAGAGTGAAACATTAATAGCCTTTGACTTAACATTGTGTTTATGTTTTGTTTACTTTTTCCCAAAGACATTCTCTGCAATGATGGAGGGACCGTCTAAAAGTGATGCTACACCTGGAACCTCCAAAAGCGATGTTACGTCTGTTGCTGCTCAAGTGCCATTTCTTCACCTGTGCACAGTTCTGGAGAAGATACAGAAAACCAAACTTAGACCAGATAAAGCCAAGTTCTTAAAAGATTTCATGGATTCATGGAGAAAGTTTCACGCAGCCCTTCACAAGGATAATCCCAACACTACAGACTCATTCTACGCAGCCATGCGTCTAATTGTGCCTCCGTTTGAAAGGGAACGAATGGCCTATGGTATCAAAGAAAACATGTTAGCCAAACTCTACATTGAGGTTTTGGGTCTTCCAAAAACTGGCCCGGAAGCAAACAAACTTCTCAATTACAGAGCCCCCACTACATCCCAGGGGGAAGCAGGAGACTTTGCCCTTACAGCTTACTTTGTTCTCAAAAAAAGATGCACAAGCCAAGGTAATCTAAGCATTAAAGAAGTCAATGACTTTTTAGACTCTGTAGCTATGAATAATGCTAGCAAACAGAAAGACCTTGTGAAAAAAAACCTTCTACATCTAATTACTCAGAGCTCAGCTCTGGAGCAGAAGTGGCTCATTCGTATGATCCTGAAAGATATGAAACTTGGTGTTAGTAAGGAAACAGTGCTCCAGGTTTTCCACCCAGATGCTCCAGAACTCTACAACGTCACCACAGACTTGGATAAAGTTTGTAGACAGCTTCACGATCCCTCCATTTCCTTGAATGAGGTATCCATTGGTCTCTTCTCTGCTTTCAAACCCATGCTGGCCGCTGTAGCCAACATCCGCCAAGTAGAGAAACAGATGGGAAACCAGACCTTTTACCTTGAAACTAAGCTGGATGGTGAACGTATTCAGCTTCATAAAGATGGGGATGTTTACAAATATTACACGCGCAACTCATTTGAGTATACACAGCAGTTTGGGGCCTCACCACTAGAGGGTTCCCTCACACCATACATCCATAATGTCTTCAAGCCTCATGTGGTCAACTGCATCTTAGATGGGGAAATGATGGCTTACAATTCCATGACAGAGACCTTCATGCAAAAAGGCAACAAGTTTGACATCAAGAGGCTAATGGACGACTCAGATTTACAGACTTGCTTTTGCGTGTTTGACGTCCTTCTTGTCAACGACCAGAAGTTTGGAAATGAGCCTCTCAAGAAGCGTTACGACACTCTCCAGACGGTGTTCACACCCATCAAAGGCCGGATCCAGCTGGTGCCCAGAACTGAAGCCAAAACCATGCAGGAAGTGGTGAATGCCCTTAACGAAGCCATCGATGACCGGGAAGAAGGGATCATGGTCAAAGACCCCATGTCCATCTACAAGCCAGACAAACGTGGTGAAGGGTGGCTGAAGATCAAACCTGAGTATGTGGATGGTTTGATGGATGAATTGGATTTGCTGATAGTGGGAGGCTACTGGGGGAAAGGTAGACGGAGTGGGATGTTGTCCCACTTCCTCTGTGCTGTTGCAGAAACTCCAGCTCCTGGAGAGAAGCCCACAGTGTTCCACACGCTGTGCCGCATTGGATCAGGCTACACCATGAAGGAGCTATATGACCTTGGCCTGAAACTGGCCAAACACTGGAAAGTTTACCGCAAGAATGACCCTCCAGCAGCCATTCTGTGTGGAACAGAGAAGCCTGAGGTTTACATTGAGCCACGGAACTCGGTGATCCTCCAAGTGAAAGCAGCGGAGATAGTAACCAGTGACATGTATAAGACTAACTGCACACTGCGTTTCCCCCGGATTGAGAGGATCAGAGAGGACAAGGAATGGCATCAGTGCATGACCTTGGATGAGCTAAATCAGTTCCGTACGAAGGCTTCGGGTAAGCTGGCGTCCAGGCACTTCCAAATCCAGGAAGACCAGCCGGACAAGAAGAAGCGTAAGCTTGGGCCTAAGTCCAAGAAAACCATTGGTATCATCGACCACTTCAAATCTCAAGACCTCTCCGCAGTCACTAAGGAGACGGACATGTTTGAAGATGTGGAATTCTGTGTGATGAATGGAAACGATACCCATTCTAAAGCTGAGCTTGAGAAGGCTGTGGCCCGTTGCGGAGGGATTGTGGTGCAGAACCCTGGAAAGGACACCTACTGTGTCATTGCTGGTGTGGAGAACATGAGGGTGAAGAACCTCATCCGTTCCGACCAACATGATGTTGTATGGGCTTCCTGGCTGCTGGAATGTCTGGAAAGGAAACAGGTGCTACCATGGCAACCACGGCACATGATCCACATGTCGCCTTCCACGAGGGAGCACTTTGCTAAAGAGTATGATCGCTATGGAGACAGTTACTACATCGACACGGATGAGCAGCAGCTGAGAGACGTCTTCGGCAGAATTGAACCTGCTGAAGTGGAGCCGACCTTTGCAGCTTCAGTAGAGGAGAAGTACGGCTGGGATGACTTGCCTACTAGCATGTTCAGACCGTACTGTGCGTACTTTGATCAGTGTGCTGACATCGACGACCTAAAAAGTCTCATCCGGGGTACATGTTTAGACACTAGGGCTCTGGAATTCCGCTTTCATGGAGGCACTGTGGTAGAAAAACTGGAGGAAGGCATCTCGCATGTGGTTGTGTCAGAAGAGGTGAGATTATTGGACCTGAGGGACATTGAGACGTCTGTTTACGAAGAAGTTCAAGATTGTTCGAGAAACATGGGTGACTGATTCAATTAAAGCGGGACACTTACTGAATGACAATGATTACCTCATGTAATGGTGGAGGCAACTGGGCAAAACTACATAACACTTAAATCTTGGTTCCAGCTGTCATTAATTATGAAGAGATGTGTGGCTCTAGTAGTACTTTTTAAATTGCTGAAATGCAAAATGTTTTAGAATAACCCAGGAATGATCTTTGGGTTTGTTTTATTCACATAGGCCTTTTTAACAGATATGACTTTTTAGGTGCCTTTTTAGTTCTACATAAACATTCTTATATTTACTCTGGTCTTAGTTCGCTTGCTTAGAGAGCAGTGATTAGTATGTTTTAATTTTAAATTATTTGATCCTTGAAGGTTTTATGGAAGACAGTTTGATCATGTTCTAGAAGAATGGCAGGGAATGTTTTTACAATCCATTTTGCTACATTTTAAGAAAAGTTGTGAATATTGTCGATATAAATGAATAAAGATTGGAAAGGTGAACTGTTTGTTGTATTGTAATTAATATATTTTTGGGGGTTGGCGATATGGCAAAAGCATATCACGGTGTTTCCAGTAGTGCCACATTTACAAAACACTATCAAAAACTATGAATACAATGATTATTCAATGTTTCACATACTGCACAGCCCTAAATCCAATTAAACATGGCTAATTATGCTCTCTTTGTAAGTTGGTCAGTATTTTTTACTAACGATATCTGTGACATGCTTAGAAAAGCACATTGTGACATATCATGGTGACATCAGTGCTGTGTTCGACTGAAGCTTGTTACTCAGAATTTTCCACATCTGGATGGATGGTGCTCTCAACCCCAAGCTCAGTGTATGACGTCAAAGCAACATGGCTGTCAATAGTAATAAAGAAGCACTTCTTTACTTCTGAATGATTGCAGGCATAGTAATTAGTTAGACCACAAAGTTCAATGTATTGATTAAGTAAATACATCAAAAAATATGAGATCACTCATATCACTAATGTTAGCTGGCTAGCTTGCTGCTAACAGTGCTCACTTTGATGGAGGGATCCATGTTTTCCCCTTTTGCTGCTCGAACATGCAGAGACCGAAAATTATGCAATTCTGAGCTACGCCTTCCCACTTTCAAGCTAAGTTGGTTCCAACTGTCATTAATTTTGTCAGTAAATATTGTCAAATATTGCCGTATTGCTCACCCTATCTTTGCATAGTTCTGAACTCAATCAATTAAAGTACAACTGTCAAAGCACACTGCGTTAACCTGAGCTGAAATGAGGTAAAACCCAAGCAATTTGGGTCTTTGACAAGCATGAAAAGTTTCATTTAGACAGCTTGTCAGGCATACAGAATTTATAGATCAGGTGCTTTGACTTGCTGATTGTTTTGCATTTGAGTAATTCCTTCAGCAATTATACCGGCAGAAGGAGGAACTGAATAGTTGTCAGAAAGCCCTCGCTAACATGAGCTTCATTGAAAAGTGCTTCTGTTTTTTTTTCCTAACAGTAATAGCTGCTTGCTTAATCTTGGTTCTACTAGTTTAAATCAAATATCTTAAGAGGATTATGTTCATATGAAGTTATATTGAACTTCCCCGCTTTTGTTCTTTCCAGCTACATTGAAAACATTGGTGACATTTTTCCCCTAAAAGCACCATTTCAGTGAACCTGAAAATGCAACATCGCTCTCTCTCTCGCTCGCTCACTCGCTGACACACACACACACACACACACACTCATTGCTCTGAGGGGATGAGAGGAGCTTAAGAGCCCTTTATAAAGGTAATCCAGGGGGAATGAGGAAATACTGCTGCCAGAGGGTTTGGACAGCAGAGCGAGGGCATGGCTGCCAGGTAAGAGGACAACAGGAGTCTGAGCTGAAATGGCTCCCTGAGTGCTCGCTGGAGGGGGGCACCCATCTTTGAAAGGTTCCTGTTTGGAAAAGGTCAGCGAAGTATTGAAGGACTGTGTCAACTTGCATTGTGTGTTTTTTTTTTTGTTTTTTTTACTGTAATGGTAGATGTTGCCCTTGGCTGCTCTTTTGTGAGCTGTTGGGTGGTCTTTCTTATTAGAGTATAAGGGGAATTCTGTCCTAAAACTGGCCTATGTTATTTGTGGTGTTAAATGTTGTGGTGCTATATGTTGTAGTGCAATTCACAATTGTATACCCTTTATACACTTATATGGACAAAAGTATTGGGACACCCGTCCTAATTATTGAGTTCAGGTGTTTCAGCCACACCCACTGCTAACAGGTGGATCAAATTAAGCACATAGCCTTGCAGTCTCAACAGGCAAACACTGACAGTAGAATGGGTCGTACTGATGAGCTCAGTGACCTCTGCCACAAGTCAGTTTGTGAAATTTCTGTCCTGCTAGATCTGTCAATAGTCAATGCTATTATTGTGAAATGGAAGTGTTTAGAAGCAACAACAGTTTAGCCACGAAGCAGTAAACGATGCAAACTCGCAGAGTGGGGCCTAACTGCATTGTGCCAAATGTAAAGTTTGGTGGAGGAGGGATAATGTTGTGGGGTTGTTTTTCAGGGGTTGGCCTAGGACCCTTAGTTCCAGTGAAGGGAAATCTTAACGTTTTAGCAGACCAAAACATTTTGGACAATTCCATGCTTCCAACTTTGTGGGAACAGTTTGGGAAAGGCCCTTTTCTGTTCCAGCATGACTGAGCCCCAGTGCACAAAGCAAGCTCCATAAAGGCATGGCTGGGTGAGTTTAGTGTGAAACAGTTTGGTGTGAAAAACCACACAGAGTCCTGACCTCAACCCCATCAAACACCTTTGGGATGAACTAGAACAGAGATTGTGAACCAGGCCCCCTCATCCAACATCAGTGTCTGATCTCACAAATGCTCTTCTGGATGAATGGTCATAAATTCCCACAGAATTTATCAAAAAATAATTAAGGGTATAGTTGTTTTGACACCATATAACCAAGCTAATCATATAACCACAGCAATAAACAAATCCACTCATGTACAGGTTAATAAATACAGATGTGATATTTAGCTTCCTAGCAGTAATGTTACCTATCTGGCTTTCTATTGCATTGGCCAGCTAGTGATGGGGAAAAACACAGTACAAAACAGCCCACCCCCAAGATCCATGCAAAGCGGTTCAAGATACCTTTAATATACCTCATCAGAAGGGAGATTTCCTAGTCTTCAAACTGTGAAGTCTCACTCTAGAGACTACTGTGCTATCACTGTTGAAGATGGGTAAACAACTGATGCAATGATAGCTACATTTTTCATTTTGAAGTGTCTCTTTAAAGTGAGATTATTGGAAATGAATTCTGAAACTAGATCAGTGCTGGTCACTTTTACCTCTTATGGCCTTTATGCAATGCTGTTGTGTTCTTGCCATGCCTGTTGAGAGTGGAGCTGGGGTTATTGCTTGTGATCTGTAGAGGGAGCACTTTCTTTTGTCTTTCACAGCAAGAACCTACTGTGGAATAATGTGAATCTTTTCAAAGAAAAGAAAGTAACTGTATTATTGAAAGTGTCATGAAGGAACTGCCACATAGCCACATGTCTGCTTTTTCATAGGAGTTACAGGAGCTTGATTTAAATAAGGGAAAATCGATCTGTTGCTGTTGCTCGGTAACTGATGGCTAATTTGTCTGAAAAGTAGAAGTCTTAATCAGTTAGCAGTGGTAATTGGACTTATCTCCTAGGCAGACAGGAGAAGGGGTTCCGTCGCTCCAGGCCTTGCCAGGAATAAATCGTTTGGAAACGGCTGCGTGCCTTTGACAGAAATGAGGCACCCCATGTGGAGAGCCAGCAGACGTTTACTAATAAAGGCTGGATTTGCCTTGCAAATGAATGTTCCTTGGCTCGAGGGACGTATTACCTTAGAGCTCTGAGTCCACTGACTACTTTTGGATAACTAACCCCCCAAAAAATTCTTCCCTTCTTACATGTCAAGGTCCATTAATGTACAAAAAGGCTCAAGAACAGGGCGCAGTTGTGAGGATGTACCTTTCTTTAGGTTTCGCCTCACCCTGTGGTCGTGTTTCAAATGTTATCTAGAATCTTGCTTTCCACAGAGTCCTTTATGGGAGTCCTGAGTATTTATTCTTCTGCCCACAGATGACAAGGACAACCCTGCCAATCAGATCTTACAGTGAATAATGAAGGAGCATGGACTTTCATAGCAAGTTGTTTAAAAGAAAAAGTCAGAGACCACCATTCATTTAGTTAATTTCCAGTCAAAAAAGTCATTTTTTGGTGTCAGTAAAAAGCAGAAATTATATATTTAACAGAAAGTTACACAGAGGCCTGACCAACTAAATAGTCTATCATTTTATTCAGTATTTAATGTGTCCACACTTATTGTCTTTTTTACAGTTTCCATTATTTTCCGTAGACTTATTTCATTTGGAATCAAAACAGCAACTGAGGAAAATTTATATAATTTTCAATATTTAATGTGTCCACATTTGGATTTGTCGCAGCTTCCATTCTTTTTCGATAGTTTTGCTTTCAGTTTTTCAAAGAAATCTGCAGGGATATTTTTCCACACCTCCAGTTTTTAAGTTCAGTCTTAAAAGTTGGTTGCATTTTCTGCTTCTAATGATCCAAATTATCTCAATAACAAATTCAGACTCATCAGTCCTGATAAATTTACCCCACATCTCAGGTTTGGTGTTCTAGTACAAATTTTCGTCTTTTTTTTCCAGTTTTTTTTTTCTCAGTAACGGCTTCTTCACAGCTACACATTCTTCCAGTGTTGAGTTGTCTTCTCACAGTGGAAAGATGGACAGAAACACCTGAGGATTTTTTCAGGTCTGAATCAAGAGTGGAGCTTGTTTTTCTCCTCTCTCTCAAAGATGAAAGCTTTATGTTCTGTTTGTCTGATGGGGACAGTTTTGGTGGTCTATCAGGTTGGGAAGAGTCTCTATATCTCTTAATAAAATTTTTGAACTCTAGTTTTGGAAACTCCCCTCTCATGCAAGTGGAATATCTTATATAAAATATATCAAGGTGATATCTTGGAAAAAAAACGGTTATAAATGGTTCTTCACACTTAAAAAATATGGTTCTTGAAAGGTTCTATAGTGAAGGCAATGTTTCTATTTAGAACCATGAGCTCTATATAGAACCACTTCTGCTTGAATGGTTCTCTGCATGGTGAAATGATTCTTCAGGTTGATATAAAATGTGGAGAATTCAAACTTCCTTGTATATAACATCAAAAAGGGGTCTTGTATTGTTAAAAGCTTGGCATCTTAACAAAGAACCTTTTTTTGGTGTTATATAGAACCTTTTTTTAAAAAAGATCTTCAAAGAACCATATACAGCACATTTACCTTCAGTCTGAAGAACCATTTCACCATGCAAAGAGCCATTTAATCATGAAATCATCTAAACCCGAAACAATGCCTTTACTAAAAAAACCTTGAAGAACTATCTTTTTTAAGGGTGTTGGCTTCTACATACGGTTCTAGGAAAAAAAAACTTTTACTGAACTATTACCTTTTTTTAAACTTTAAGAAGG